CCCAAAGGGACTGGGTGACACCAGGACAGCCCAGGAGTCACCAGGAGCCTCCCAAAGGGACTGCGTGACACTGGGACACCCCAGGTGCGGCCACGAGCCCCATTATGGTCACGGGGGGGACACCGGGACCCCCCCGGGGTTACCAGGAGCCCCCCAAAGGGACTGGGTGACACCAGGACCCCCTCAGGTGCTGCCACAAGCCCCGTTCTGGGTAGTGGGTGACACCAGGACCCCCCAGGCTCTGCCCTGGTCCCCATTCCGGTCCTGGGGGGGACACAGGGACCCCCAAAGTGCTACCAGGAGCCCCATTATGGGCAGCAGGTGACACCGGCACCCCCGGGCGCTGTCCCCGTCCCCTTTCCAGTCCCAGGAGGGACATGGGACCCCTCTGGGTGCTGTCCCGGTCCCCATTCCAGTCCCAGGGGTGACACCGGCACCCCCGGGCGCTGTCCCCGTCCCCGTTCCGGTCCCAGGGGGGACACGGGACCCCTCTGGGTACTGTCCTGGACCCCATTCTGGTCCCAGAGGTGACACCTGGACCCCTCCAGGCGCTGTCCCCATCCCCATTCTGGTCCTGGGGGTGACACTGACACCCCCGGGCGCTGTCCCTGTCCCCATTCCAGTTCCAAGGGGGACATGGGACCCCTCCGGTTACTGTCCTGGTCCCTATGTCCCCATTCCAGTCCCAGGGGTGACACTGGCACCCCTGGTGCGCTGTCCCCGTCCCCGTTCCGGTCCCAGGGGTGACACCCGCATGCCGGGGCACTGTCCCCGTCCCCATTCCAGTCCCGGGGGGCACATGGGACCCCTCCAGGTGCTGTCCCGGTCCCATTCCAGTCCCTGGGGTGACACCAGCACCCCTGGGCACTGTCCCTGTCCCCATTCCAGTCCCAGGGGTGACACTGGCACCCCTGGTGCGCTGTCCCCGTGGGTGACACCCGCATGCCGGGGCACTGTCCCCGTCCCCATTCCGGTCCCGGGGATGACACCAGGACCCCTCCAGGTGCTGTCCCTGTCCCCATTCCGGTCCCAGGGGTGACACCGGCACCCCTGGGCGCTGTCCCCGTCCCCGTTCCGGTCCCGCTCCCGCGGTACCTGAGGTACTGCTTGCTGCGGGGGCACTTGCACAGGTCGTCCATGTGGTACAGGCAGACGAGGCGCTGGGGACACTCGTAGCAGGCCAGCGCGGACAGGAAACAGGTCGTCTTGCACTTGTCGCACTGGCGCTCGTCGTCGGGGAGCAGCTCGAAGGCCTCGCGCTCGGCCTCCGTGATGCCCTGCGGGGGACACGGTGGCACCGCCGGGGTCCCCGCTCATGGGGACGTGGCGGAGGGGACACCCGGAGCGGGTGGCACGGGGTGGCGGGGAGCCCTATGGGTTGTGGAGGGCAAGGCCCTGCTTGTGAGGGACACCCAGGACAGGTGGCACAGGGTGACACCCAAGGCACAGGGTGACAGCCAGACAACATGGCACACGGTGACACCCACAGCACGTGGCACAGGGTGACACCCAGACCAGGTGACACAGGGTGACACCCACAGCAGGTGGCACAGGGTGACACCCACAGGATGACACAGGGTAACACCCACAGCACATGGCACACGGTGACACCCACACCAGGTGACACAGGGTAACAGCCACAGCACGTGGCACAGGGTGACACCCAGACCAGGTGACACAGGGTGACACCCACAGCACGTGGCACAGGGTAACACCTGGACCACGGGACATAGGGTGACACCCACAGCACGTGGCACACGGTGACACCCAGGGCACATGGCTGTAGATGCCACCTGCT